AGTTTTGCCTTTCCCTGATGACTAATGATGTTGAGCATCTCTTCATGTGTTTATCAGTCATTTGGATATCTTCTTTGAAGAAACATTACTCAGATTCTTTGCCCATTTTTTAATTGGGTTGTCTTTTTATTACTGAGCGTAAGAGTTCTTTATATATTCTAAATACAAGTCCCTTATCAGATATATGATTTGAAAATTTCTCCCATCCTGCGGGCTATCTTTTCACTTTCTTGATAGTAGCCTTTGATGCACAAAAGTTTTTCATTTTGATGAGGTCCAATTTACCTATTTTTCCTTTGGTTGTTTACCTTTATCTATTCTATTAATATACAACTGTTTCCATGGAGAACTGATTGTAATGACTAATTAACTGTTTTCCTCAATGTGATTACATCTCTGATGTAATAAACTGCTTATTCAATTAGCATGTCTGGTCTCATCTCTCCCTTTGAAAAGAATAATAAGTGGCTGTGCTTCCCCTGATAGAGAGGCAACGAACAGACTGAGGCTTTTACCACATTATGGTATGGAATTCTTTATCTCAGAGAGTAACATTGGGAACATAATCCTGGGCGCTAGGTGCTTAACTCAAACCTCAGTTGCTAAATGCTCAGCAGCCTCATACTGTCTTCCTGTCCTGCTACTCTTAGTTCCAGGCCCTGCATTCAACTCCAGCTCCACCTCCTCTTCTGACCTCCAAGTGTGGACATCCTCCGAGGCTCCGTCTCCATGGCCCTCTCCTGCTCATTCCACGTTCTGTGTCCCTGGCTTTCTTCCAGGCCCCTAAACCGCCCACTACGGGTCCTCTCTCCGGTCAATCCTATACCTCTCACCGCCTCTAGGCCATCTCTAACCAGACCCACCACATCAACTGAAGCGTGGTGTGTGCACCGCAGATGAGCATCTTCTCTTCCAGCCACTTGCCCCTCCGGACTCTGTCTCTGGATGGTATTATTCTCCCACTCACCTGGCTTCCAACCTCAGAGTCTTCTTTGGTTCTTTCTTCTACCCCCTCCCCTACATCAAAGCAGCCTATCACATCAGCCTTCAGCCTTTGACATGGCACAGTTGTCTCACTTCACCTTAATCCAGGCCCACAACCTGCCACACTGATCTTCCTAACATGCCCACTTCACTCCTCTTACTGCTCTGCTCCACTCCCTTTAAACACTGCCTGCCCCCTAGAGAAAGTCCAAACCCCGACACTCAAAGCCACCCCCAGTCCGACCCAGCTGAGCTTTCCTACCTCACCTCCCTCTGCTTCCCCTACCAACCCTCTGCTCCAACCACTGTACCACCCACCGACTCTGAAACACCCTATTGTCATTCCCATCTCTACGTGTTTGTGCACACACCCCTCCTCCCTGGCTAGCCCTTCTTTTTCACCCATATATCACCCTCCTTCAGATTAATCCCACTTCCTTCACCAACCAGCCCTCCTTCGTTCACTCCTGAGGCACCTGTCTCTAGCATTTCTTTGGCCCTCATTCACTCATTCAAGTTGGCTTACATGAGATGCCTTCCTGCTCCAAATCCCCACCTCCCTCTCCCAGGGTACCAATACACACTGAGCACCTACAGAGGGCCAGGCACTCTACCAGGCACTGGAGTTACAATGGGGGTAGGGAGGGGACAAACCTTTGTGCCTCACAAAACTCAGGGGCAGGGCCTAGGGGCTGACACAATTAACGAAAGAATTATGGTCAATAAATGGACACTCTCAGCTGTGCTAAATGCTACAAAGGAAAAGTACTGAATACTAGAAAGCAGGTAACAGGGAGAAAAAGACCCCATTAGGTAGCTCAGGGCAGGCTGTGTAGAAGGAGGGCAAGTTCTTCTTTGGGTAACCTCCCTTCTCTCTCCACATGGCCTGAGTTCCCGGAAGTAGGCCATGCCTCACTCACCTTCTTCGTGGTTTTAGCATTGGGCATAAGGGTGAAGGAATCCATGAGTGACTCTGGTGAAGGAAGGGGAGGATTTTGGAACAAGAAAGCATCTCATCCAGGAACAACTGAGCCAGAGTCAGAACACGTTCAGAGACAGCCCTGGGTTCAATTTGAGCCCTGCTACTCTTTAACTCTGAGCACAGTACTTAACCTCTCTGTGCCCCAGGTTTCTGTCTATAAACTAGGACTAACCGCCTCCCTCAGAGGGTGGCTGGGAAGATTATGGGATAAAGTATATAGAAAAAGCCCTACCCAGGCCTAGTAGAGGAAAGCACCTAATCATTGGTGGCTGCTGTCATTAACCATTATTTTTATTATTCTTAGGGGACTCAGATGCAGGAAGTGAGCTCTGAAAGTTGTACACCAGGTCATCAAATTCGGGCCAAGTCACTACTGAGACGAGCCAAAGGGGCTTCTGTGCACAGTCTAAACAGGAGATGCGCCCAGGAGAGTTTCCCCAAAAGCAGGGACGGCTCTTTGCCAGCCAAAGGAACTACCCCAAATTTGCTCTGCCTGAGGTCTGCCCTGACTGATCTCAGGCCTTGAGGCCCCAGGAACCTGAGGCAAAAGAGAGGCTGCCAAGGTCGAAGGTCATCACGGCCACTTCCTAATTTGCCTGGCATTTATCTATAAAAGGAAACACAACAGGAAACTTCATCTTTCCAAGTCTGGCCTCCCTCCTCTTCCTGCTGTCACCATCTATTCTCTTCTGACTGGGGGCAAGAGAGCAGTGCAGGGTGCAGTAGGCAGAATAAAGGCCCATGAGAGATGCCCACGTCCTCAATCTTGGAGCCTATAAATATGTCAAGTTACACGGCAAAGATGGGATCAGAGTTGCTAATCATCCGACCTTAAAACAGGGAAACTATTCTGGATTCTCTGGATGGGCCCATGTAATCACAAGGGCTCTTTAAACATGGAAGAGGGAGGCAGAACGAGGAGATGTGAGAAAGACCTGAAGATGGAAGGAGAGACATGACCCAAGGAAGGCAGGCAGCCTCGAGAAGCTGGAAAAGGCACTAAAATGGGTTTTTTCATGGAGACTCCAGGTAGGAATTCGCCTGCCGACACCTTAATTTTAGCCCAGGGAGACCCATTTTGGACTTCTGATCTCCAGGACTCTCAGATAATACACCTGGGCTGTTTAAGTCACTAAGTTTGAGGTAACCTGTTACACACACAATAGAAACTAACATACAGGGCTTTTGAACAGTTCTCCCTGGGACCTGAGGGCTTCAGAGGCAATGCCTAGAGTCAGAGTGAGGGTAGTCAGGCTACGACCTTTGACACATTGGGCTTTAATAGAAGGATGCTTAAGATATTTTTTAAAAATCACGGGTGCAGTAGAAAGAGTCTGGGGTCAGACAGAGCTTGATCCAGTCTGTCTGTTGACCAGCTATGTGATCTTCCCACACTTCACTTGGCCTCTCTGAGCCTCAGGGCCTCATCTGGAATCATGAGGATGACCGCCTCCCAGGGCTGTTATGAGAATTAAATGGGCAATGGGGATGACAGAGCCTGGCAGTCAGTAAACATGAGCTGCCCTTCCTGCCTCCTTCCTTCTACAAAGTCCTCTCTAAGGATCAGGCACAATCACAGAATTTCCTATCCCGTTCCCCTCCCCTACAAATACGGGAATCCAGAGGAGCAGAAGCCCACCTCCCTCAATCCACCCAAGAAGCTGGAGTCAGGCTGGGACTCCATTCATTCACTCACTCACTCATTCATTCACTCAATGAATCCTTAGTGCATGGCCAGGGCTGAATGGGGAGCAAAAGGGACTGTCTCCACCCTGGTGGAGTTTACGGTCTAGTAGAACACACAGACATTAATCAAACAGTCAGGCAAACACATATACCATTCCATCAGCAACAGTTGCAAGGGAGAGATGTGTAGGCTACGAGTGACGGGGGAGGTGATCTAGCCAGGAGGTCAGAGAAGGCTTCGCAGGGAAAAAATGAATGAGCTGAGAGCTGAAGGGTGATTACGCATTAACAAGGTGACAGACGGAAGAGATTCCAGGCAGAGGAATAAAACTACAAAGAGGCCCAGGGGTGGGAAGGAGGCCCAAAGTAAAAGAAGGCCAGCATGGCTGAGGGGCAGTGAAGAAGGGGAAGTAGGGAAGGAAGGAAAAATAAATGACTTTCGGGTTCAACTGGGTGGTGATGGTACCATTCCTGGAAACAGGAGACACTGGAAGAGGGCGAAGCTGGCAGTGGGGAGGCCATGAGGTCAATTCTGGACGTGTGGAGTTCAGGGGACCTTTGGGACATCCTGGCAGAGCCACCATCTGGGAATCTGGATACACAGGATATGAGAACAGGTAACCTCTGGGCCAGAGATATAACCACGGCAGTCACGTGTGAGCAAACAGTGACTAAAGCAGGGGAGGGGGCCTGAGTGAGGTCACCTGCCAGCGACTGAGAGAAGGAGGCCTCTGAGAAACATTTAACACCCAAGAGCTGGCGGGTAACTGCAAAGGAGGCTGGAAGGAGTGACCTGAGAAGTAAAGTGTCACATCATGGAAGCTAAGGGAGCAGAGCGTATCCGGGATGAAGAAGTGGTTGACAGTATCCAACATTCCTGCAAGGCTCTACAAGATGCCACCTTACTGATGGGACCACCCAGTTGGGCGACAAAACTGGACAGGCCTGATGTCCGGGGATGAGGCCTATCAGATAATCGCCCAGAGTGCCCTGGGAAGTGACCCAGGTATTAGAGGCTCAACTGCTGACAGCGTCCCTGGGAAAAAGCAACAAAAAAACAGAGACCCAAAGTTCTTGTCATTGTATCCAATGGCCTGGCCTCAGGATCTGGCTCAAACTAGAGGACAGAAAAGAGCAGATGCCGGCTTGGACACATCCTCTGTCCCAAGGCTGGTTAAATATGTATAGCTCTAAAACGAGGGCAATACTTGAGATCCGACACCAGGCAGGGGCTGTGCCTCCGACACAGGTCCCCAGCTGGCGAGGAGCCTGGACTGGGGCCTCCGGCTGCGGCAGTGGCTCAGCACCGTTTGCCGGCACTTCCACCCCCAGCGCTGAACCCACTTACCTGGTAAGATCCCTGGACCCTGGACTTTGACCGCCTCCTTTTCCCGCTCGTCCGCCTGCTCTGAGTTCTCAACCACCTGATCCAGCTCCTCACTCAGCTAAAGGGAGAAACAAAGAGGGCAAGGAAGTCAGCTACATCAGCTTTGCTTTTCTGGACTAGAATAAGAAAGCAGAAGCTGTTTCTCACTTAACTGTCATCAAAAAACAACAACAACAAAAAGAAATCACATGATATAGGGTATGTTATACCAATTCTACAGATTAGCACACTGAAGCTCAGAAAATTCAAATAACTTCTGTGTGTTAGTTTCCCAGGCAGTGGTAACAAAGCACCACAAACTGGGTGGCTTAAAATAACAGGAATTTATTCCCTCACAGTTAGGGAGGCTAGAAAGCTGAAATCAAGGTGATGGCAAGGTTGGTTCCTTCCAAGGGCTGTGAGGGAGAACCTTTTCCATGCCTCTCTTCCAGCTCCAGATAATGGCCAGCAACCCTTGGTGTTCCTTGCTTGTAGACGCATCCCATCTCCGATCTCTGCCTCCATCTTCACACGGAGTCTCTGTGTCTCCACATGGTCAATCTTCTTATAAGGACATCATTCGTACTGGGTTAGGGCCCATTCTACTTCAGCATGACTGCGTCTTAACTAAATACATCTGCAATGACCCTATTTCCAAATAAGGTCACTTTCTGAGGTGCTGGGGGTTAGGACTTCAACATACCTTTTTGAGGAAGACAATTCAACCCACAATACTTTCCATGGCCACAGAGCAGAGAGCAAAATCCAAGTTAGTCTAGTTCCAAAACCCATGCTCTTAATCGCTTCCCAAAGAAGGAGGAAATGCAAGCTTAGAGTCTGCTGAGGGAGCAGAGGGAACAGAAGTTGGTGTCAGAGCTAAAGTCCACCAACTCAGGCTGCAAATGGCAGAACAAAGTGGGGAGGGCAGACCACCCAGAGACAGGTGCTAATTAGCAGCCTAATAGCAAGCAACCTCCACCTCACTTCATCAGCATTTTCACCTGTCAAATGGCGACAATGATACAATGATAACCAACAAGGTTCTACAGCATTAAGGAGAAAAGCAAGAAACACCAAGACCAGAGTTTAGAGGAGGACCTATTACTGGACTGGGAGGTGAGAGAGGGGATAGACTTCCCAAGTATTTTCTTAGGCTCACAGGGTCAACACTTAAGGTCGCAGGACATCATTAAAAATTCACCTCTAAGAAACTTGAGTTAAAACAAAGCTCTTACGTATCTAATATTCTTCCATCTCCTTCTCCATGCCTCTGCTCCTGCCCTTTATTTTTAACATCTTTATTGGCGTATAATTGCTTTACATTGTTGTGTTAATTTCTGCTATATAACAAAGTGAATCAGCCATATGTATACATATATCCCCATATCTCCTCCCTCTTGCATCTCCCTCCCACCCTCCCTATCCCACCCCTCTAGGTGGTCACAAAGCACCGAGCGGATCTCCCTGTGCTATGTGGCTGCTTCCCACGAGCTATCTATTTTACATTTGGTAGTGTATATATGTCCATGCCCCTCTCTCACTTCACCCCAACTTACCCTTCCCCCTCCCCGTGTCCTCAAATCCATTCTCTACGTCTGCGTCTTTGTTGCTCCTCCCCCTTTAGAATCAGGTAAAGCCTCTAGTTTAAAGCCCTAAAGCCCAAAAGAAAAGAAAACCAACACGTGAAAGATGACACCATGAAACACAGGCCCACAGTGGGAAGGAACACAGATCAAGAGGTCCCCAGGGCTCTTTCCCTTTTGCTGGCCAAAGGGCAAGGAGGATGTTAGTCCTGGGAAGGCCCAGCGTTCTCTGATCCAAGCCTCGCACAGGTTCAGCCTAACCCTAACACACTCCTACCCCAGTTCCCCTGCTGACTACCTGCAGCTATAATAAACCCACCTCCTTGCCCGGCCCTGGCCAAATTCTCAAATGCCCCATCCTGCAAAACCAAAATCTCCCCCCAGCAAAGAAACCTAACTCGGAGCTAGGTCCACTCTCAGAATGACCCACACAAGAAAGATTCAGGAGGCCTCCTTCTTCTGAAGAAGGTGAGAGACAGGGACTTCAGAACGGGCCACCAACGAAAGTAAGGGGAGGGGTCCTTCCAGTGTCTCCCACCAACGGAAACTGAATCCACCCTCGGCCTTACCCCTGCAAGCAGGATAACTGCCTATATTTTAATAAACATTTTAGGAGCCCTGCTGGGTAAGGAGATAATGCAGGTTGCGTGTGAATGGTGAGGGACATGGTCCTGTAAACCAGGACCCCAATGCTCCCCAGAAGCAGGAGCTGCCCACACCCTGCTAATAAGAACTAGCATTCACTGAGGGGTCACGACTGCCAGGCACTGAGCTGAGCACTTTCACAGACCAACTCATCTAATCCTCAGAGCCCTGTGAGATAGGGACTATCATTACCTTCATTTTGCAGACGAAGAAACTTGAGGCTCAGAGAAGTTAAGTAACTTGACAAAAGTCACACAAATGGCAAGAGGCGAGGCAGGATAGGAATGCGTGCTTTTTGACTTAAAAGTCCTAGTATCTACCCACTATGCTCTATTCCCTACAAACCTGAAAACTTTCAGAGTCAAGGAAAGACACAATTCATTTCCCAGGATTCCCCCACTGCCTCGGGTACAGAATCTAGGGGCCGCAGAATCCACAGCACTGGTTAAAATCCATCAGGCTCCTTTGGGACAGAGGAAATGGTAGGAGAAATACAGAAATTTGTCCCAAAGTCAGATTCTAGCCCAGATCCCACACTACAGAATGGCATGCCTCAGGCAAATCTCGTCTGTCTTCAACTTGGCTTCCCCCTCTACTACGGGGCTAAGGCATCTGCTTTATATACTCCACACAGTATCATTTACAAAGGGAGAAATGTACATCAATATTGATCAGTATTGATCAAGACAGCAGCAGTTCACGTGAGAAGGACTGGCAGGATGACAGACTCGTCTGGGAAGTGAGATCCCTATGGAGCATGTGAGATTTGAGATCCCTCCTTGCACAATGGGGGGAATTTTAACCAAAGGAGTTTGAGAAGGGGTTAAAGAAGAAGAAATGGTGTGAGCATAGGCATAGCAGGAGCACGTTTTTAATCGGTGACTTTCCAGTGCCGCCAGAACCTAGGTGGGTGAGGAGATGACGAAGGTAACAGAAGACACGGCTGCAGGGCTGTGAAAGCTTGTAAGAAGCTTGGACTGTTCTGGGTAGACCAACGGCAGCATCAGGTGTATGTAAAAAGGAATGCTCGGAGATCAAGGCAGGGCCCAGCATGGGAGACACCGAAGGGAGAGTTGGTTAGAGCAGACTTGGGGTCACAAACCTGAGGATTGAGGATATGGAACTGCCTGAACTTGCCAAGGGAGGGGAGCACGGTGAGGGACACAGGGGATGGAAGAGAACTAGAAATGACCAAGGTTTGGGACCCTAGAGGAGGAGAAGGAGAGCAGTTCACTAGTGTCAGTAAGAGTCAGCAGGAGGAGCTGGTCTGAGGGAAGGGCTGGAACCGCAGCCTGCAGCGCAGCACAGACAAGAATGAGACAAAGAACTGGAAAGTTAGAGTTACAGTCGTGGGAGGAGGTGAAAGTGGAGAGAGAAACGGAACGGGGCGAGAAGCAGCTCTGTCGGTGAAAGCACATTTTCAAAGTTGGTTGGCCATCAAAACGAGCTGTAATTATCGCTATGGTTAGCAGCTGCAGGGGCCACGAGGCCTTGGGCGTGGAGGGGGCTGATGCCCACCGCGCCTCTGCCCAGCTGGGAGGAAGGCGCGGGTGCTTCCACTTGTTGCAAAGAACCTCGGCGTGGGGGGCGGGGGGGAGTCCGCCCGGCGGACCGCGCTGCTGCCTGGGTCGGACGAGGCTTTAATCATTCACCTGATGGTTAAGGGTCGAGACTCCGGGGCCCCGGCTCCATCCTTCTGCCAAGCGAAGGCAGCATCCGGAGGAGGCTCGGCGTCCCGCTTCCTTCCTGCTCCGCCGCAGCTCAGCACGCGGGGACCCCTCCTCCAAAGCACTCACCGCTACTCGGAGGCGGGCTCTGCCCGCCCGGACGCCCCCCACAGCCCAGCCGCCCGGACCCCCGGGACCCGCTCTGCCTCACAGGAAAATTTGCTTTCGCCCCCGCCCCTGCCTTGTACCTCTTGGTAGGATGTGGAGAGCTCCTGGCGGATCATGGCACTGACCGGACCTAAGGCAAACCTGAGCCCGCTGCGATCCCCGGGAAGCAGCTAGGCGAGCACCGCGGCTGCAGCGCCGAGACCTGCCGGCTCTCCGAGGCGAAACCGGTCCGCAGGAGCGGCTTCGAGACAAGGCGGGGCGAACTCGGCGCATGCGCCTCGCCCCCGCCGCCGCTGGAGCCGCGAAAGGGTTGCTGGGAAGTGTAGTTCTGGGCGTGAGGGCCCCACTCAGCATTCCCGGAGTAGCGAAGCCTTTGAGTTACCCAGAGCCAGGGTTAACCCGCACGTTACACGCACGTGCTTTCCCCTTCTTTTACTTCCTCTCTTTATTGGCGGGGGAAGGACGGCGAAAATGAGTGGAAAGTGGAACAAGGGGGCCAAGTCAGACAGATAGGAGATCCTAATCTATAATTGAAAGAGGAAGCTTGGCCTTGTAGGTTATAACCATAGTTATAAGCACATTCGTGCCCATTATGCCTTTCATCCTGCGAGGAACCCTGTAAAGAGTACATTTTTCTCTCTGTTTTACAGGTGAGGAAACCGAGGTACCTTGTTTCAGAAGGGATCGGGGAGAAGGCCATAAACAAGTGAAGATTATTTAATCCAGGAACAGACGACAAAATCCAAGTTCTTTCCATTATTCCTGGGGCAGACACTTGGAGTCAGGACCTCTAGATTCTTGTCCTGGCTCTGCTCTTCTCCCACAGGTCTTGTAATACTCTGAGCCATCCTCTGTTCACCTTAGAATGCAACTACTAAACCCTGCCCTGCTTCACAGGTCCTTATTTGAGCCAAAACAGGTCCTGCAGCAAAACCCAAAGGTGCTGTTCACAGTAGCAAAAGCCTCCTGCCCTGACTGTGGTGGAAAATTGGGTGTTTGCCCTGTGGCAGGGTGGACCCACATCATCCCCTCTTCCTGCTGCCTGAACAGCTGTTCTATGTGGCTGCCCTGGGCTGCTTAGTAGTGAAGCAGATAGAGGTTGCCTATGCCTTGGTGAATGCTGCTCTGTGTTCCGGGCAGCTGCAACTCTGCAAACCCCTGCACTCAGGGCCTCTTCCCTCCTCAGTGGCAACCATAGTAGCACCAACCACATCAGAGCAGCCTGGACCTTCAGAGTGTTAGTACTGGGAGGCCTCCACCACCTCTTCTGACCACCCTACCCCAGCCCAGACCCTCTGCTCTCACATCTATTAAATGGGACAATATACATAGCACCTAACACATTGTAGGCATTCAGCAAATGTTTGTTAAATTTATGAATGGAACACTTATTGCATCCATTTCAGTTAACAGTTGCTTACCAAAACAAATAAACAACAAACAACTCATTGAATTACTTACAGCTTTACTACAAGGGAGGTTGATAGAACAAGTCACACAATCATAGAAATTTAGAACTAGAAGGAACCAGAGAAATGTAGTCCAGCCCTATCATTTCTCTCTACTCTTTGTTGGTATGAGCAAACTGGAAAATTATGGGCTCCCACATTTGAAGGAGATACTGACAAATACAATATCTGACATGGTTTAACAAATACAGTGTGCCAGGCACTGGGATACAGACATGAATAGGGTACTCCAAGGTCCTTGCTCTTGTGACTCTTCCATGCTAGAGTCGAGAAACAGACCTTGAACACGTTAATAGAATTTTCTGTACTTGCTGTCCCCAAGTCCTTTCCTCCCATTTCCACATGAGCACACACCAATCAGGCTTTTATGTTCACCACTCCACTGAAACGGTGCTTATTAAGGTTACAAATGACCCCTGCGTTGTCAAATCAGATGGCCATTTCCCTATCCTCCTCTCGATCTATCAGCAGTACTGGACTCAGGTCATCCTCTCTCTTCCTTGTACACTTTCCTCTCCTGGCTTCAGGACACCACACGCTCCCACTTTGCTTCCCACGTCACTTGCTGCTCCTTCTCCAGTCTCCTTTGCTGGTTTCTCCTCATCCCCTCAACTCTACAGGGTCGCCTTCCTCAAGCTAGGTCTCTGATCTTTCTACTCACTCCCTAGGGACTAATAAAGTGGTCTCCTCTAGTCTCATGGCTTGAATTACCATCTACATCCTAAGGATTCCCGTTATGGGTTGAATTGCGTTCCCCAAAAAGATATGTTGAAGTCCCAACCCCTGGTACCTCAGAATGTGACCTTCCTTGGAAATAGAATTGTGGCAGATGTCATTAGTTGAGGTCACACTAAGCAAGGTGATCCCTTCGTCTGTTATAACCCGTGAATTTACAGGAAGATGGAAGACAATAGGAAGGTAGACACACAGGGTGAATGCCCTGTGATGACAGAAGCAGAGATTGCAGTGATGAAGCTGTAGGCCACTCACTTCCTCACCATCTACAGGTCTTTCTCGCAACATCACCTTATCAGCAATGCCTCCTCTGAAGCACCCTGCAAACCCCATTGCAGCTCGTGCCCCCTCACTGCTTTATATTTCTCCCTAGCGTGTACCACCTTCTGACTTTCATTTTCAGTCTCCCTGCACTAGAATATAAGGTCCGTGAAGGCAGGGTGCTTATGTGTCTTGTTCATTGCTATATCCCAATGCCTCCAACAGCGCCTGGCAGTTACTGGTACTCAACGAGTAGTTTAGTAAATAAACGAACAAAATAATTTCACATAGTGAAAAGAGCTCTAAAGAAAGGAAAAGGGACCACGTGATAGCACATGATAGGGCAGCTGTGGAGGGAGGTGCTGATTGTGGGGAGTCAAGAGAGGCCTCAAGATGGTAGTTACTTGTGAGTTGCGACCTGAGTGACAAGAGGGTCATGACGACCTGCACCCCAGGCCCATGATGACCTGCACCCCAGGAAGAGGGCACCGGTACAGTACAGAGGGCCAGGCTGGGACCCAAGCAGAAGGCAATGTGGCTGGAGGGGACCGATGGAGGGGCACTTAGGAGACAGAGTCAGAGGGGCAGGAAGAGGCCAGATCCTGGAGACTGGGTTGTGCTGATCCTGGGCTTGTTTGCTCTCAGATCCCATTCTCACCTCTCCTGCTCAGCTCTCGGTTACCAGGGCTGGTCCTGAAGGCTGGGTTTCCACTGGGTTCAGTCGAAGCACTGCTCGGAGACTGGAGGGGATCTGCGCAAGGGGGAAGTCAAGGTTTTTCCTTCCCTTGCTCTCTGCCCCTGGCAGCTTCCCTTCCATAGCTCTAGCCCCTGATGCAAAGGTTTTTTGGTGGTTGTAGCTTCGGTTAGGTGACCCAGGCTCCTAAACTCTAAAAACACCAGGATGTTGCCAATCTTCCTGCTTTGCTAATCTCTGGGCTCCCTCGGGGTTGCTTCTCAGCCTCTTGCATCACCTATGTAACCAACTCCCTGCATTACAGCCATTCTGTTTTACTTAGATTAGTTTCTGTTTTCCTTGCAGATAACTTACTGATTCATTTGGAAAAATGAAGCTGGGTTCAAGTAGGGAAGGGCAATCAGGGGGATGCCTGGAGAAATCCAAGGGCATATGAGCACACTATTAAATTATAGACTCACACTCAGTGTCTCCGGGACGAGGAAGCTAGATCTGATCAGTAGAAATTATAGGGAGTTTCTTTTGGCTCAGAGCAGTTCCTAACAAATCCAGCTGCAGGGAGAGAAAGGGCTCAAGCAGAGAAGCAGCACCCCGTATGCCAAGGAACAGGATGCCTCAGGAAGAGGGTGATATTCTAAGGGTTTAGAAGAGCCTCTTCTAACCGGGAGACCCTGTGACGTGGTGTAATGTGGATACGGCACAGCTTACACAGCTTTTCACATCCATACCATTTTTACTTTGGACACAGCCCTATCCAGGAGGCAGGCTGGTACGTTACTGATGTGGAAATTAAGATTCAGACGATTTGTGGACAGACCCTGTTTAGGCTGCTCTGCAGTAGAAGCCCATTCTGTTGAAGTACATGGATGAGAAGGTGCAGTCACTGAGAGGAGGTGTAGCCTGGCGGTCAGGGGCTCTGGGACACAGGGCCTGTGCTCGAGTCTTGGCTCTGCCACCTACTGTGTGACCTTGAGCAAGGCACTTAAGGTCTGTGTACTTCAGCTTCATCATCTGTAAAATGGGTGATAATATTTCTTACTTCCTAGAGCTACAGTGAGGATTAAATGAGATAATACACGTAAAAGTGCTTGGCACACAGCAAGCCTATCTTTGGTGGCCGGTTCTCCCAACCACAAAATCTTGGCAAACCCCAAGAACTCAGTCCTTGGTCCTCCCTCCTTCCGATCCACGTGCCGCTCCTCGACAATCTCATCCATTCTGTGGCTTTAAATGAAACCTATATGCCAAGGATTCCAAAATTTATATCTCTAGCCTGGAACTCTTCCTCCAATTCCAGACTCATATAGCCAACTGTCTACCTGATCCTTCCACTTGGCTATCTAAGTGTTCTCAAACTGAACAAGCCTGATCTTGATCTTCCCCAAGACCTGCTCCTACCATCTCTCCTTATCTCAGTAAGTGGCAACCCCATCCTTCCAGCTGCCCAGGCCAAAACCCTCAGGGTCATCCTTGGTTCCTCTCTGTCTCTCAGACCCCATGTCTTGTCTGTCAGCAAATCCTGCCAGCTACACCTTCAGAACAAATCCGTGATCCACCCACTTCTCACCACGTCCCTTGCTACCACCTGGGGCCAAACCATCTTCATCTCTCACCTGGATTATAACAGTAGCTCCCTGCTTCAGTCCTTGACCTCCCCTCCTACCCCTCTTCCCTCCTCGCTGTTCCTCCAACAAGCCGGGCACTAGCCTTCCTCAGCATTTAAGCAGTTTTCCCTTTGCAGGGATTGTCCTCCCCCAGGTTACCTCCCTCACCTCCTGTAGATGTTCATACAAATACTGCCTTCTCATTGGGGCCTTCCCTGGTCAGCCTATTTAAAATTGCAACTCCCAATGCTCCCTATCCCTTTGTCCACTTTATTTTTCTCCCTAGCATTCATCACCATCTAACATACTACTTATGTATCGTGTTTGTCTATTTCGCCCATAGAATGTAAGCTCCATGGGGCGTGGATCTGTCTTGTTCAGCGATGTGCCTCCAGTGACCTGGTACATGGAGGCCCTCAAAAAGTATTTGCTGAATAAATCAGTGAAGAAATCCTTGCACAAATGTTAGCTATAATTATTTCAGTGCATGTCTTGTGCCCTACCCTCTGCAAAAATCCTT